ATTAAACTACTCTGAGCATTTGAACATCTACCATTTGAAAGAGTGCAATTTGTGCACTCTTACTGATTTCGCTAGTTTGATTATTTAACCAGTTTAACCAGTTAAACTAGATTGAGAAGTTTGTGCAGTTGAGCCTATAAAGCTAATTATTCATTTTGTCCCCTCGAAAAATTGAAGCTAGTTTGACCATTTCAACCAGTTCAACCAGTTGAGATGGATTTTGCAATTTGTGCAGTTTGGCTGTTTTTAATAGTTTTACTAAATAGTGAAATAGTCAAACCAGCGAAGATAGCTAAATACAAAAATTGAACAATTCTATCTTCATTGGTTGCAGTAGTTCACATAATCAAACTAGCTTAAATGATTCAACCAATAAAAAAATGCACAGCTAGCTTAATCAGTTCAACTGCACAATCAAAAATTACGTAATCTTTCTCTACTGGTTGGAGTACTTTAAGTGGTCAAATCAACTTCAATGAATAAACGACGCAAGCTGCACAATCTAGCTAAGTTTTTTGAGGTATTTAAATAGTCAAACTATTTTAATTGATTCCACTTATTAAATAGTCAAACCACGGCAGACAGATAAACTGCAGCAGATTGAAAAATCTTTCTTAATTGGTTGAAGTCGTTGAAATGGTTCAACTGTACAAATAGTTCAGCTGCACAAAATGCATAACTAGCTTAAATGGTTCCATTGCACAATCTGCACAATAGCTTAAGTGGTTTTACTAGTTAAGATAGTAGTAAAGTACTTAGGGCTTTTACCGCATATCTACCTGATATCAGTGATTCTGTGTTGTTATTATTGTACGGTAATTTTATGCTGGCTTTTTCATATAATACTTATTACTTCCTGGAATCCACATGCTATCATAATTCTTGGAAATTCTATGATTTTCATCTAATGTGTTGGTATACATGAAGTCTTAGGAAATATATTTAGATGATAGTAGTTATCATAATCGTCACGATACTGATTATCTATGATAGTCGAGACGATTATTCAGGTAGTAGTGATTATGTATATGATAGTCGAGACGATTATTCAGATAGTAGTGATAGCTATAATAGTAGCTTTATAGATGATAGGGAACTGGATGATTATGCCCATTGCTCTGATGACCAAGAGAATATTTATACAAAATATTTATACATAATATTTATGCATAATATACAAGATATTTTAATGATAGCAATATTTTAGAAGCAGAAGAGGAATTGCATGATATGGAATATGACTTAAGGAGACCAGGGACAGCCCCTGATAATACACAAAAAATTTAATATCTATGTAATATCATTATTTAATGACAAATAAGATGAGGTAATTTGTCCCTTCTGTCAAAAGCAAATAAAGGAACAATCAGTCATAGTAGAAAAATCTTGGGACAAACAGTGCTTGTAAAATAAAGGCTATGTGATTGTGTGCACCAATTGTGGGCATGTAGATTGCTATGAGCTAATAAAAGAGTTTTGTAGCTTCCATGGTAACAATTATAAAATAATGGTTTGGTCAATATATCTAAGGAAATACTATCTTAATAAGGTAATATTTAATGTAACAAAAAAGTATGACACAATAGTAACCACAAAGAACAAAAGTGAGATAATCGCAGTCTTTGAAAAGATAAACAACGTGTTAGCACAGGTCAATGATAATAGACAGTGGCTGATTAATATGAATTTTATCATGATAATTTATGATATACAAATCAATATAGATTACCTAAAAATAATCAAATGAAAGAAAATCCTTTCATATTATCACAACTACTGAAACAATGTATTGAAACTAATTAGTAATGACTACAACATAATACCTAATAAATAATTCATCACAGGTAAACTACTTCTTGTACTGTTGCTCAAAAGCATCAACCAATGAACACATGCCTATGATGTTATCTACAGTTTTCAACTGATCCAAATAATTCTCTATATCAAACGACACTCCTCTTGAAAAGGACCTTAATTCAATTAGAGTCATTACATAGGTATTACTAGAAAATCTACGTTATTCTATATTCTTTTTCAAATCTTTCATTTTACAGTATGTTTTTAGTATCAAACCACCACCAGGTATAATGCCAAGTACGATGGGGTTCGTTGTTACCCTACCAGCTATACTACCACCTACTATTAAACAAGACGATGACAAATTGCATAATAGATTTAGTTTCTTGAACCTCGTACAGGTTTTTTTTAACAACCGAAGCTTCTTATGATAGTATTTCTATAGTGATTGATTGATTGATCACCAATCCGTGTCATTACATAGGTATTAAAACCTTTCATTTTACAGCATGTTTTTAATATCAAACTACTACCGAGTATAATGCCAAGTACGATAGGATTCGTTGTTACCCTCCCACCGACTATTAAACAAAACCATTACAAATTGCATAACAGATTTAGTTTCTTGAACCTCTTATAGGCCTTTTTTAACAACCGAAGCTTCTTATGACATTATTTGTAGGATGATGTTATTTCATTTATTGCGTTTTTGTTTAATGATTTATCTATATCATTGAAGTTCATAACACTCCTATTTTTGAAGCTCATATATGTGTTTATAACGCTCAGATTTTTTATTAATCGAGCATAAAGCCCACCATCGAGAGTGCCATTATCTACAACGAAAGATATAGAATGACCAGTAAATGTTCCAATATTCCAAAAAATGTAACATCAATCCATTCATTGTTTGTGTTTTGTGTGAATACAGTGTATTGCTTACTAATGCATCCGGAAGTATCACATGCTTTGTAGTAGAAGTGTGTACCAGGCCCCTTGCCTGAATGAAATTCAGAAATTGCAGAAATTGAATGAAATTCATATGTTCCATCCACATCAAAGGTTAATTTGTCACTATATATTGTTTGTTTAACACCATCCACATATGATTTATTTACAGCATCACTACCATATGTTGGTTAACCAATTTATTTTTTTTTAAATTGCACATATTAAAATCAGCGGAAATTGGTTTTGTTCGATTAGTTTTCCATAAATTTTTTTGTTTATGTGTCTACATATGATTTATTTAAAGCATCATTAGCATCAACTGGTGTGGCTCAATGGATTATTGTATTATTAGCCATATTCAAATCAGCAGTCATTGCAGTCTTTCCATCAGACCCAAAATTCCTTTATCACTTTTATCACATTTTGAACCCTGTGGACCAGTATCTCCCTTCAATCTTCTCACAACTTGCAAACCTAGTGGACCACGTATCCTTATTACTCTGTTTTTTCTTCTGTCACTAACAGCAAAAGTACCCACATCTAATATACGATTCTAGTAATTTAAGAATCTGACTTAAGGACCACCATCCAACATTCCTTGAGCTGCTTGAATCCTTACTTCAAATGCAGCAGTTACACTAATGGGATTGAAACATTGATATAAGGATTGACGCTCCCAAGATTCATATTTATATTACAAGCTGGGCCTTTGTATCCGTCTTTAGAATGGATGTTATAAATACCAGATATACCAAAAGCTATATGGCCAGTTCATGTTTTGAAAGAGAAATGAGCGCTATTTGATATTAAAACATTAGCTCCACTTGTGACAAATCGTACTATTATTATGTGAAATGTTATTACTATAAAGATAAGCAGTTTCAGTTTTATCATCAAACACTTCTGTCTAATAGCATTATCATAATTAACTGTATCTTGTGTTTTTAACTCTTTAGTCATTTTAATTAGTGTGACGAAATTATGAGTACCATTAGTTATTTCAAACTTTTTATCCCACACACTGAGTGGAACATCGTCATGATATCCCAAGATCCCATAAACTGTGACACGAATAACTAAATCTTGTGCATAAGCCGCGCATGACTTATTCTCCAATACTAAACCATCATCAGATAATAAGGTGTTACATTATTTTACTTGTGTATATGTATCAATGATCTGGTATGATTTGCAGATTTATTACTTGATACCCTGGAAATTGTCTTAATACTACTTGTAGCTAATATATCAACTGATGAATGGTCAATTGATGCAGAAGGCAAATATAATTCAAAGATCACTGTATATTTGCCAGTTGTAAGTTCATAGATGTCTTGTGCTATCCAAATGGAGTTTTATTTCATAGGTTTTTTTTTAATGAACTGATGAAAGTCTTCATCAAGAATTTAACCCTTAATGTCATCTTCATCACTGAACTGCCGACTTTTATTCATGATATATGAAAATGTGTTTTACAAATCTGCTCCATTAACAGACAGTTTAATTTGTCATTTCATACTTCTGGTAATTAGTAGCCATTGGCGTATTATTATTGTTGACGGTTGTATTGACAAAATTAACATCAGCAGCAAATATGCTTTCATGTGCCTGTGCCTGTTTGACATTAGTGATGCTTCTGCTCTTCATATTCAAATTACCAGTTATTGCTCTTGCACCATCTGTTTTCAAATAATTGCTTGTTTTATATGACCATACCTTACATGACCTTTACATGACTAGACCATACATTAATGCCTTTTTTTGCTTCCATCTGTTGTACTTGCTGGGTCTGTTACATTAATTACCTTACTTCCTTTCATATCAAGACCTTTTGATATCTTAAAAGTAAAGGTTTTACTGTCGGCATATTTCTTTTCAACCATATCCTTATCACTGTTATCACTGCTGTCATAATTTGGTATTAATAACCTGCTTTTTAATGTTTGGGGTAAAGATTGTCCAAATCTATTTTCTTGCCTGTGATGTCTTTCATCTGTCTCAAGGTTACGGCTTCATCATGATGTTGTGCTCTACTGAGGTCATAGATGTTCTTACCCTCAGCATCCCATCTGTTACCCCTTCCCAATTTCAACAGTTTGTTATGATCACTTTTTTCCCTGTATATTCTCACAAATACCTTATTAACAGCATCATCATTTGAAGTGGGCGTATGCAAGTTCTTAATACGGTTGTTATTCATATTTATACCACCTTGGAAAGTCTCAGAGCTGCTCAGTATGTTTGCAATGGTATCAACATACTTTATCACCTTTTCGACCTCTAACATCAATGTCATCTTTACCATCCTTAAGACCTTGACGACCGGTATCTCCTTCATCACCTTTTCAACCCTGAGGACCAATATCTCCTTTTGGTCCTTGTGCTGCAGTATCTCTTCAGCCACCCTTAGGACTCTGAGACCCAGCACCACCACTATCAGGTGACCCTTCTGTATTAGTATCACCCTTGGGGCCTTGTGCACCAGCATCTCCTTTGTCACCCTTGTCCCCCTTAGCCCCCTGTGCACCAGTATCTCCTTTTAGACCTCTATCACCGTTTTCTCCTCTTGGGCCAGTATCGCCCTTATCATCTTTTAGTACAGATGACCCTGCTGGTCCTTCGACACCTTCCACAGTTGTATCTATTTTTTTATGATTTTTAGTAAATATACCCATTACAAAATACCCTTTTTAGGAATTTTTCATTCTAAGCATAATCAGTAGGGGAAAACACTTTTACAACACGATAACATGTCCCCATACTGTGCACATTCATGTAATGCAGACAATGTTATCCACATAAGACACTGAATTAATCCTGGTCCTGCGTGCTGTTTTACACATAATTGAGATTTAATGTATTGGACACCTTTATAACCTCTTTTGTACAATTCAGACCAAAACTGTCGAAGTATTCAATTATCTCTTTTGATATTCATAACAATCCAGTGTGTACCACCACTCACACTGTCACCAAGATTAATAACATAGTATTCCATCCTATGCTTATCACCTATTTCATCTCTAAAAAACACACCCATAAACTGCCTTATCTCCACTCACTTTACACAGTTAATTATATTCTAACTGGACAATGCTTTATTTACAAAGTTGCACCCACCAGAGGGACTCCGTTGAAAGGTGAGTTTTTTCCTAACGTGGTCCTTTTCCTCTGATCGTCTTTCTTGTTTTCCTTTTATCAGAAACAGCACCTATGGTACCTGCGCAATTAGGCAAACTACCAATGAATGGTGGTGGTGTTTGAGGATACACCTCTCCCCCTTTAGACCAACTACCTACAAATGGAGGTGGTCTATATGGCACTAATGACTCATTGCATGGTCTGACCTACATGTCACTACCATCTGATTTTGGTGGTGGATGTGGTGGTTGCAGTTCATATCTGCTATAACCCTGAATACCATTACCAGTTGATGCTTTCAATAATAAGGGCACAACAACGCTTGCAGGGAGTATACTAAGGAACCCACCACTTTGTTTCTTCGTTGGTTTTATAATGAAAGGACTTCCTAACCTCATAGCTTCTGCTAGTTTATTCATCTGGCCTGCAGTAAAACTATTCTGATAGGATATAAGTTGTGTTATTTTATCAATGGGTATCATATAAATATTTAGGCTACTTTGACCTTGTGAACTACTTCGACCAGTTAATATTGGTTTTGCAATTTGTGCAGTTTATTTATGTCTACTTCTTTGACTATTTGAGCAGTCGAAGCATTTGAGCCAGCTTATAAAGTTTGTGTGATCGAACTGATAAGTTATCTACGCATTTTATCTGGTTGAACCATCTAAGCAAGTTAGGAATTTTGCCATTTAAGCTAAATTGACCATTTAAAAAGTAGAACCAAATAGACTAGTTGACTCTTTTGACTTCTTAAGCCAATTGGGCTAGATTTTGTCGTTTGCGCAATTCTACAATTGAACGTCGTTTGACCATTGCACAACTTCATGCAGTTTAACTGTCTTCCTTAGTTTGACTATTTAAGCAGTTGAACCATTCAAGCTAGTTGGGTATTTTGTCCAGTTAAATAATTGAAGCTAGTATAGCCCTTTGAACAACTTTAACCAATTGAGATAGATTGTACAATTCAGGCAGTTTGTTTCTGTCTGCTTCTTTGACTATTTCAGCAGTCAAAGCATTTGGGTTGGCTTGTAAAGTTTGTGCAATTGAAGTGAATAAGTTATGTACGCATTTTACTCGGTTGAACCATCTCAGCAAGTTAGGCATTTTGTCATTTAATCTAGATTGATCATTTAAAAAGACTAGTTTGACTATTTTGACTTCTTAAACCAATTGGGCTAAATTCTGTCCTTTGTGCAGTTCTACAATTAAACGTAGCTTGACCATTGCACAACTTCAAGCAGTTTAACTGTCCTTCCTAGTTTGACTATTTAAGCAGTTGAACCATTCAAGCTAGTTATGCATTTTGTCCGGCTGAACCATCGAAGTTAGTATGGTCGTTTGAACAACTTCAATCAACTAACAAAGATTGTGCAATTTGCGCAGTTTAGTTGTATAATTTACTTTGACTATTTAACGAGTTTAAACAATTAAGCTTGATTGTGCAGTTTATGCAGTTGATCCCATCGAGCTAGTTATCCATTTTGTCCAGTTGAACCAACTAACCTCGTTTGAGCATTTGAAGAACATCAACCATTTCAGATAGACCGTGCAATTAGTACACTTTTACTGTTTCCGCTAATTTGATTATCTTAACTAGTTAAACCAAGCTAGATAATGCAGTTTGTGCAATGGAACCATTTAAGCTAGTTATGCATTTTGTGCAATTGAACCATTTATGCCAGTTTGACCATTTGAACTACTTCAACAAATTAACAAAGGCTTTGCAATCTGTACGGTTTACTGTCTTGGCTGGTTTGACCGCTTAAAGTACTTCAATCGGTTGTGATATATTTTTCTCAGGTGGCCTTAGTTTGACTATTAAACTAGGTGAACCATTTCAGCTAGATTGTCCAGGTTGTGAAGTTGAACTGATTAGGCTAGTAGGCAGAGTAGACGCAGTGCATAACTAAGACATTTTTCTACTTAAACAGTCTAAGCTAGATTGACCATTTGAACTAGTCTAATCTGTTGACATAGGTCGTGTAAATTGTGTAGCTATACTGTTTTCGATAGTTTGACTATTTTACCGTTTGAACTATTTAACCTAGTTATGCATTTTGGCCGGTTGAGCTTTTGTAACTGGTTTGACCATTTTAACTACTTGTGTATTTGACTATCTTCACTGGTTTGACTATTTAAGCAGTTAGTCAAACTAACTAAAACAGTAAACCCTACAAAAATTGTAAAGTCTCTTTCCACTGGTAAAACTTGTTCAAATGGTCAAACTACCTAACATTGTTCAAGGGGACAAAATGCTTAACAAACTAAGGATTAAACTGGACAAACTTTTCAATCAAGTTTAACTGGTTGACCTAATTAAATAATCAATCTAGCGAAAACAGTGAAACTACAGAAATTGCACAAACTATATTGAATGTCTGAAGTAGTTAATATGGTCAAACTGACTGAAAATATTTAACTGGACAAAATGCGTAACTAGCTTAAATGGTTTAACTGCACAACCTACCTTAATTAGTTCAACTAGTTAAAATAGTCAAACTAGCTTAATTGGTTGAAGGGCTTAATAGGATTAATTGGTTTAAATAGTAAACCAGTGAAATAGTTGAACCGCTCATATTTTTAGATGCTATCTTAATTGGTTAAGGTCATTAAATGAGAGTATCCTTAATGGCCTAACCGGACCAAATGCGTAACTAGCTTTGATAGTTCAATTGAACAAATACACAACTAGGTCAAATGGTTCAACTACACAATCTGCCTAATGTAGCTTAACTGAATCCCGTAGTTAAAATGGTCAAACATCCGTATTTATTCGACTATAAGCCGAGCGATTTTTACACAAATTAAAACTGAAGTTAATTAAAATTTGGGCTTTAGAGGGGGTCTCGGCTTATAGCCAAAAGTTTTTTTAAAAAAATTTTTCCAGCGCATAGAAACTCTACTAAATCAGGATGTATTTACTTATAAGCCGAGCTAAAGTAAAGAAACACAATATACAATCATTGGTTATTAACTTTTAATTTGAATTCGAGAGTTTGACTGAATGGTAGTTCGAACTGCACGGGTGTCTCGTCCATGTTAAAGATTCTTGATAGAGAATAACCATGACGCTGACAGTTATGATTCGTTGCTTTTCAATTGATTAGTTCGCTTTTTTGTCCTTTGCATATTAAATCACCATTAATCGCCATCGTCTAAGCCTCATTTATGACAATTAATGCGATTTTTTTCAAAAAATGTTAGAAATTCAGTTTTGTAATAATGAATGGGTCTCGGCTTATAGCCGGGTGGTTTTATGTCAATAAAAGTTTCTTGGTCCTAATTATGTAGGTAAATTGGTTCAACTGGTTAAATAGTCAAACAAGGAAACACAGTTAAACTGCACAAATTTGACATACTAAATAGTTTGGGGTCTTGGCTCATTAGCCGAATAATTACAAATAGTTTAACTGGTTAAAAAGTCAAACTAGGTTTAAACTGAAAAAATTGCTGGTTAAATAGTCAAACAAGGAAACAAAGTTAAACTTCAATTGGCAAATGGTTTCAACGTTTAAAATCTGAACAAAATAACGTTTCCACGATTTTTACCCTCTTTTTAGCCGTATCGCACTTAGAAAAGGTGTTTTTATTTTCGGTCTGATTGCAGCTTTATCTCACTTAAATAACGTTTCTACGATTTTTGCGGCCAAATTATGCTTTTCTAAGCTTTCTTCCACCGGGGCATGTTCTCGTTTGATTCCAGCTAAATTGAGCCGTTTTGGGCTTTTTCTCACGAAATACAACGTTTTTGTATTTTTTGTTGCTAAATTACTTTTTTTTCAGCTTTATGACAGAGAAAAGATGTAATAAAGCGTTTGTTGCTAAATTTATGCCATTTTCAGCTTTATCGTACTGAAGACTGTTTCCAGCTTCTATGCAGCTTAATTACGTCTCTTTCAGATAATCTCATCAAAAGCTTTCTTTTGCTTGTTTGCTTTTGAGTTAATCTGTTTATAGCGTTATTGCACCGAAAAAAGGTTTTCTACCTGTTTGCAGCTTATCACCCTGGCTTAAGCTGTATCTAACTCAAACAACTTTTCTACTTTTTTTGGCACTAAACTACGCTGTTTTCAGCCTTAAAGCACCTAAAACATGTTTTCGTTTGGTTGCAAGTAAATTGCACTGTTTTGAGCTTTATTTAATGGCCAACAACGGTTTGGATTTTTTGTTGCTTGATTATCCTGCTTTTTGCTTCATTCCACCAAAGCGTTTTATCGCACTGAAAAAAGGCTTTTCGCATATTGGCAGCTAATCATGCTAATTTTAGCTTTATCCTTTTGGAAACCACGTTTTTGCTTTCTGTGCAATAATACTAAAAAAACAGCGGAATTCAACGGCAAGCAACCGCAACAACGTGTTGAGCGAGATAAAGCTGAAATTAGCATGATTAGGTACAAACAGGCAGAAAACCTCTTTTCAGTGCAAAACCTTTCGGTGTGATAGGCCTGAAAATAACGTGATTTAGGTCCAAAAAGACAAAAATTGTTGTTTTGAGCGTATGGCTAGAATCAGCGTGATTAGCTACAAACAGAAGCAACATCTTTTCGGTTGCATGAAGCTATAAACAGCACAGTTTAGCAACAAGGAAAGGAAGACGTTGCTTTTCATGAGATCAAGCCCAGAACAGCCCGATTTAGCTGCATAGAAACAAAAACATGTTTTTGGTGCGGAAAAGCTGAGGAAAGCGTAATTTGGCCACAAAAATCCCTGAAACGTTGTATTAAGTGAGACAGAACTAAAATCAGCGTGATTAGCTGCAAACAGGCAAAAAGAGCGTAATCTAGAGGTAAACAGGTCAATTCAGCTAGTTTGTCCAGTTTTTTTGCTTTTTTCTGTTTTCGCTTATTTGATCTCTTAAACCATTTGACTTTATTTAGCTTGTTGGTAAATTTTGTCCATATGAGCCAATTGAGCCAACTCAGTTACTTTCTGCATTTTGTGCCGTTTAACTGTTTCCACTGTTTGCAATTTTTTCAGTTTAACAGTCTCCTTGCTAGTTTGACTATTTAACCACTTAAGCTCTTTAAGCTGGTTATCCTTTTTGTCCGATGAAACCCTCACCCTAAGCTAGGTTCGACCATCTTAACTACTTGACAGTTGAACCATTGAAGTTTGATTGTGCCGTTTGTGCAGTTGAACCAGTTAAAAAAGTTATGCTTTTTGTCTAGCTGAGCCATATCTGTTAGTTTGACCATTTGAACTACTTCAACAATTAACAAAGATTTTGCACTTTGTGCAGTTTAACTGTCTTGGCTGGTTTGAACATTTAACTAGTCGAATCGATTAAAATAGCTTGACTCTTTTAATGACTTCAAGCAATTTAGCTAGATTCTACAGCTTGTGCCCTTTATTCCTTGAAGTTGATTTAACCATTTAAAGAACTTCAACCAGTTGAGATAGATTGTGCAATTTTTCTCAGTTGACCTTAGTTTGACCGCTAAACCAGTTCAACTATTTGAGCTTAATTATTGAAGTTGCGCAGTTGAATGGATTACACTAGTTATGCACTTTGATCAGTTAAGGCATTCAAGACAGTTAAACCATGTGAACTACCTCGACCAATTAAGCCAGATTGTGCAGTTTGTACAGTTGATCTTATCAAGCTAGTTATGCATTTTCTTCAGTTAAAGCATTTAAGATAGTTTGACCATGTAAATTATCTTCGCCAATAATATATTATACAATTTGTGCAGTTTAACTGTTATCGCTTGATTGAAATTTAGCCGGTTGAGCCATTGAAGCTACTTATGCATTTTTTCCAGGCTAACCATCTCAGCTAATTCTGAATTTTGTCCGCTTGAACAATTTAAACTATACATTTTGTCTAGTTGAATCTTATAAGCTAGTTTGATTATTTGAACTGCTGCAACCAATGGAGATAGGATTGCTAGGTTTGTGTATTTAGCAATCTTTTCTGGTTTGACTATCTCACCAGTAAGTAAAACTATCGAAAAGAGATAAACTGCACAAATTCCACAATCTATCTTAACTGGTTGAACTAGTTCAAATTAGCTTACATTGTTCAAGGTGACAAAATGCATAATCAGCTTCATAAGTTCATGTGCACAACCTTCTCAATCTAGTTTAACCGGTTGAGCTGGTTAAATAATCAAACTGGCGAAAACAGTAAGGCACAAATCGCGCTATCTATCTCATTTGGTGGATGTACTTCAAATGCTCAAACTAGGTAAACTGGTTGAACCGGAAGCAATGCGTAACTAGCTTGGTAGCATCAACTGCACCAACTGCACAGTCAAGCTTAATTGATTAAACTTTTTAAATAGTCAAATTAGCTAAAACAGTTAAACTGCACATAGGGCACAATCTATCGTAATTAGTAAAGTTGTTTAAATGACCATACTAGCTTAAATGGTTCAACTGGTTAAGTAGTCAAACCAGGGAAGACAGTTAGATTCCAGGAAATAGTAAGTATTATATGAAAAAGCCAGAGGAAAATTACTGCGCACTACACAGAATCACTGATGTCTGGTGAATATGCCTTAAAAGCCCCAGGTGCTATACTACGATCTTAAATAGTTAAACCGCTTAAGCTAGATTGAGCAGTTTGTGTAATGGAACCATTTAAGCTAGTTACGCACTTTGTGCAGTTGATCCATCTTAACTACTTCAAATAATTAAGAGTCATTTTGCAATCTGTGCAGTTTGAATGTCTTCCCTGGTTTGATTATTTTACAAGTCGAATCAATTAAAATAGCTTGACTATTTTAAATACTTGAAGAAACTTTGCTAGATTGCGCATTTTCTGTGGTTTATTCATGGGAGTCCATTTAATCATTCCAACCGGTTGAGATAGATTAGGTAATTTTTTTCAGTTGACCTTTGAATGTTACACCACTTGAAACACTACAGCTAGAATGTCCAGATTGTGCAGTTGAACTTATTAAGCTAGTTATGCATTTTGTTTCGTTGAAACATTTAAGCCAGTCTGACTATGTAAACTACTTCGACCAATTAAGACAGATTGTGCAATTTGTGCAGTCTAACTGTAATCGCTCGATTGACATTTAGCCAGTTAAGCCATTTCATTGGTTTTTTCCAGATTAACCATATCAGCTAGTTCTGAAAGTTGTCTTGTGGACCCATTTAAGCTAGATCGACCACTAAACTTTTTTCACTGATTAAAATAGATTTTTCAATTTGTGCAGTTTATCTGCTTTTGCTAGCTTGCATATTTAACTGGCTAATCTATTTCAGCTACTTTAACCATGTCAATTATTTCGACCAATGAAAATAACTTTTGCAATTTTTCCAGTTCATTTGTGTTCGCTTGTTGGACTGTTTAAGCAGTTGAAGCATTTCCCCTTGATGAACCAATTTAGCCAGTTATGCATTTTGTCATTTAAGCTAGTTTGACCATTTATGAAGTAAAAGGAGTAAACTAGCTTGACTATTTTAACAATTTCAACCAATTCAGCTAGATTGTGAGGTTTGTGCAGTTAAACTTATTAAGATAGTTGTACAATTGAACCATTTTAGCCAGTTCGACTGAGTGTTGAACTACTCCAACTAATTAAGATTGGACGATTTGTGCGTACAAGTGTCTTTGCTTGTTGGACTATTTAACTGGTTGAAGTAATTAAGCTACTTCGATCATTTTAACTTCTTAAACAAATTGGTCTACATTTTACCGTTTGTGCACTTCAACAATTGAAGGTAGTTCGACCATTGCACGACCATAACCAGTTTAGCTGTCTTCCCTTATTTGAATATTTAACCAGCTCAACCATTCAAGCCAGTTATGAATTTTGTCCAGTTGAACCATTGAACCTTGTATGGCCATTTGAACAACTTTAACCGATTAAGATAGATTGTGCAATTTGTGCACTTCAACTGTCTTAGCTACTTTGACTATTTAACGTGTTTCACCAACTAAGCGTGATTGTGCAGTTGGTGGAGTTGATCCTATCGAGCTGGTTATGAATTTTTTTCTGGTTGAACCAATTAACCTACTTTGAGCATTTGAACTACATCGACCATTTGAGATAGATAGTGCAATCTATGCACTCTTACTGTTTTTGCTGATTTCAACTAGATTGAGAAGGTGATGAAGAGGCGATGAAGGTCAGGCACGCTCTTCTGTGCTCTCTCTTTTTAGCAACTTTTATTGGGATAGAAGAGCTTTCCACGAGTGAGGCTGCAGTAAAAAGATGGATAACTGCACAGAGACTGGTCTTACGGAGTCAGAGAACGGAAAATCCAAATTGTCTGGCCAGACGGACATCTTATCCACCTCGTGGATAACTGTTTTTTGAAGAGTTTGGATCCATCCTTGAGCAACTGGCTACTGACAAGGGACAAATCATGATTGTTGGTGACTTTAATTTTCATATAGATGATCACACTAACGTGAGTGCTGCTAAATTTATGGAACTATTACAATCGTTTGACCATACTCAACACGTAGAGCAACCAACACCTAGAGGAAATCATATATAGATTTGATCATCACCAGATCTGAAGATAGCATAGTATGCCATATTTCAGTAATTGATCCCATTCTATCAGATCATTATGCTCGAAAAGAAAGAAACTACGTACAGGAGCCTTAAGCGCATTGACTTTGCTAGGTTTCGTGAAGACATCAAGAACTTGAATCTGCTAAATAATGACATTGCATCAGTAGCCGACTTGGTTGAAGCGTACAACGCGAAATTAGCCTCGCTACTTAATGATTATGCTCCTCTTAGAAATAAGGTTGACCCTATTCCTGCAATAGTTCTAGAGGAGTGTCTCCACGATTTAATACCAGTAATTACTAGACTAGTCAACAGGCTTCCTCCACCCTCGAAATATCAGCCATATAAGGAAATATATCAGTCACCATACAGCAGAAAAACTTACGCACGCTTTCATTACTTTCAGACTGGACTTCTGTAATTCACTTTTGTATGGACTGCCAAAACAAACTATCAAGCGGCTTCAGCATGTTCAAAATGCAGCTGCCAGAATGGTTGCACTTACACCCAAACATGAACATATATCACCTGTATTACAGGAACTGCATTGGCTTCCTGTAGAACAGCGCATAATTTTTTAAATTCTTTTGATGACTTTTAAATGTCTAAATGGCATAGCACCTTCATATTTGTTTGACTTAGTTACCAGGTATATTCCAGGTATATTCCAGGTATATTCCAGGTATATTCCTAAGCGCAACTTAAGATCTGCTGATGTCCATCAAACAAAAATCTGCACAATCAAAAATTGCAGTCTTTCTCAACTGGTTGGAGTACTTTAAGTGGTCAAATCAACTTCAATGAATAAACGACGCAAGCTCCACAATCTAGCTAAGTTTCTTGAAGTATTTAAAGTAGTCATACTATTTTAATTGATTCCAGTTATTGAATAGTCAAACCACAGGAGACAGTTAAACTTCACGGATTGCAAAATCTTTTTTAATTGGTTGAAGTAGCTGAAATGGTTAAACTGCACAGATACTTCAGCTGCACGGAATGCATAACTAGCTTAAATGGTTCCATTGCATAATCTGGCTTAAGTGGTTAAACTAGTTAAGATAGTAGTTAAGTATTCTGGGCTTTCTACGCATATTTACCAGATATCAGTGATTTTGTGTTGTTATTATTGCACGGTAATTTTGCGCTGACTTTTTCATATAATACTTTTTATTTCTTGGAATCCATACGCTATCCTAATTCTTAGAAATTCTATGATTTTTATCTAATGTATTGGTATACATAGAATCTCAGGAAATATATTCAGATCATAGTAACTATCAAAGTAGTCAAGATAGTGGTTAGATATATGATAGTCAAGACGATTATTCAGATACTAGTAACAGTTACAATAGTAGCTTAATAGATTATAGTGAACTGGATGATATTCTGATTACTTTGATGATCAAGAGAATTTACGTACAAAATGTTTATACAAAATATTCATAACTAATATTTACACAAGATATGCAAGAAATTTTAATGACGGCAACACGTTAGAAACAGAAGAGGAATTACGTGATATGAAATATATTTTAACGAAACCAAGGATAGCCCCTGTTGATATTTAAACACATAATATCTATGTAATACCATCATATAATGTATTGCATAAAATATTTCATAATGAATTAAATGAGGTGATGTGTCCCTTCTGTTATAAGGAAATAAAGGAACGATCAATCCTAGTAGAAAAATGTTGGGAGAAATAATGCTTGGAGAATAAAGACTATGTGATTGTGTGCACCAATTGCAGGCAAGTAGATGACTATGAACGATTGAAAGAGTCTTGTAACTTCCATTATAATAATTGTAAGATAGTTCGGTCAATAAGTCTCAGGAAATACTATCTTAATAAGGTAATACTTAATATAACCAAAAAGTATGACATCATTATAACCACCAAGAACAAAAATAAGATCATAGCAGACTTTCAAAAGAGAAACAATATATTACCACAGATCAATGATAATAGAAAGCGCATGATTAATATCAATTTTATCATGATATTTAATGAATGCTAGTTAATATAGATATACGTAAAGTTACTAAATCAAAGAAAACCCTATGATATCATCACAACTACTTGAACGATATATTGAAAGTAACTAGTTATGAATACAACATAACACGTAATAAATAATTCATCACAGATAAACTACTTGTTGTACTGTTGCTCAAAAGCATCAACCGGTGGACACATGTCTATGATAATATTATATGCAGCTTTCAATAGGTCCGGATGACTTTCTTTATGAATGACACTCCTCTTAAAAAGGGCCTTAATTCAATTAGTGTCATTACATAGGTAGTAAAAGCAAATCGACATAATTCGATACTCTTTTTAAAATCTTTCTTTCCTCAGGGCGTTTTTAATATCAAACCACTACAAGGTATAATTTTAAAATCTTTCATTCCTCAGTACGTTTTTAATACCAAAGGAGTACCAGGTATAATGCCAAGTACAATGGGATTCGTTATTACCCTTTCAGCTACAATACCACCTACTATTAAACAAGACGATGACAAATTGCGTAACAGATTTAGTTTCTTGAACCTCTAAAAGGCTTTTTGAAGAATCGTAGCTCCTCGTGTTAGCATTTGTATAATGATGTAGTTTCATTTATTGCGTTTTTGTTTAGTGATTTATCTATTTGATTGAAGTTTGTAACACTCCTCTTTTTGAAGCTCATTTATAATATTTTTATATGTTCAGATTTTTTTAAATCATTAGTTGTGCACAAAGCCCACCATCGAGAGTGCCATTATCTACACCAAGTGATGTGGGGTGACCAGTAAATGATCGAAATATTCCAAAACATGTAACATCTATCTATTTATTGTTCGTGTTTTGAGTGACTGCGGTGTATCACTTACTAATACATCAGGGATTATCACATGCTTTGTAGTAGAAATGTGTTGCAGGCCCTTTGCAACCATATCTTTAATTAAATTCATATATTCCACCCACATCAAACGTTAATTTGTCACTATCTAATGTGAAATGTAAATCATGAGAGAGAGAAAAGAAAGGATTAATAAGTTATTTATCGGCTTGAGGTAGTGATGGACGTCTTTGGTTATGAATACTGCCTAGCCGGAAAAGCGAGATATATTCAGAAAAATGGCAACGGAAGAAGGGATGTACTCGGTGACTCACGAAAGCATTACCGTAGCCCCTGGGCAGAGATAGGAAAATACTGACTGGGTAAAGAACCAATCAGATTCCAGGATCTGTTACCAAGCCCTCTGAAAAAAAAATGTTGATATCACCTTGGAGAGTCTCAGAGCCACTCAGTATGTTGTTTGTGATGGTATCAACATACTTTTTATTACTGGAATCTGTTGCACCTGATGGATCCCCAAGGTTAATTCTTATTTCTATCCACAAACATTACGCTATCGGCATTGCTTATCCTAGCAGTATGCCGGACGCGTGTCATTTGAACTTCGTAATAGACCTTGATCATTGTGGAGTCTCTGTGGCTCAGTGGTAGAGCAACGGAGCGCGGAATCCGAAAGTCTGAGGTTCTGAGGTTCAATTCCTTGTGAGGACTTAAAATTTTTTCTTTGTCCTGTGCAGGTAACAAGACAAAAAGCATCTTTCTTTATAACGTATTTACTGTTCATATGCAAATTACCTGTCATTATCTGAGTTCCAGGCGATAAAAAGACAGTAGAAAGGTCTGCAGAATCACTACTAAAAGATGGCCCCTGTGGACCAGTATCACCCTTATCACCTTTAGGTTCTTGTGCTCCAGTGTCCCCTTTATCACCTTTTCGACCTCTAACACCGATGTCATCTTCATCAGCCTTGGGACCTTGAGGACTGGTATCTCTTTTGTCACCTTTTGGATCTTCAGGACCGATATCTCCTATTGGTCCTTGTGCTGCATTATCTCTCTTGTCACCTTTAGGACCTTGAGACCCAGCACAACCACTACCAGGTGGCCATTGTTCACCAGTATCACCCTTGGGGCCTTATGCACCAGTATCTCTATTTAGACTTCTATCTCCTTTGTCTTTTTTTTGTGCCAGTATCACCCTTATCACCTTTTGGTCTTAGTTACCCTGCTGGTCCTTCAAAATCTTCCTTAGTTGTATCTATTTTGCTATGATCTCCAGTAAATATAACCATCATAAAATATTGTTTTATGAATTTTTCATCAGAAGCATAATCAGTAGTGGAAAACACTTTTACAACACTGTTACATGTCGTCCCCATACTGTGCACATTCATGTAATACAAACAATTGTATCCACATAATACACTGAAAAAAATCCTGATATTGTGTGCTGTTATACACACATTTGAGATTTAACGTATTGGACACCTTTATAGCTTCTTTTGGACAATTGAGACCAAAACTTTCGAAGTATTCAATTATCTCTTTTGATGTTCATAACAGTCCAACGTGTATCACCACCCACACTGTCATTAAGATTAATAACATAGTCTCCTATCCTATGCTTATCACTTAATTGATCTCTGAAAAACACACTCATAAACTGCTTTATCCCCAGTTACTTTACCCAATTAATTATATCGTAATTGGACAATGCTTTATTAACAAAATTGCTTTCACTAGCAGGACTCCGTTGAACGGTAAGTTTTTGCCCAACAGTAGTCCTTGTGGCACCAATGACTCATTGTTTGCTCCAACCTGGATGCCATTACTATCTGATTTTTGTGGTGGAAGAGGTGGTGGCGGTTGATATTTGCTATAATCCTGAATACCATTACCAGTTAATGCTTTTAATAACAATGGTACATCAATACTTGCAAGCAATGTACTAAGGAACCTAAAACTTTGTTTCTTCGTTGGTTTTGTAAAAAAGGGACTCCCTAACCTCGTTGCATTTGCTAAATTATTACTCTGCCTTGCAGTAAACATATTCTGATTGGGTATAAGTTGTGCTGTTTTATCAATAGGTATCTTGACCATGCGAACTACTTCGACCTGTTAAAATAGGCTATGGAATTTGGTCAAACTTGCTTATTTGCTTAAAAATTAAACAAAACTGGATAACAAGCCTAATCAGTTTAACTTCACAACCTGGACAATTTAGCTGAAAAGGTTCACCTGGTTTCACAGTCAAAATAAGGTCACCTGAGAAATCTATCTCGACTGGTTGAAGTACTTTAAACAGTCAAACCAGTCAAGTTGGTCAAAGTGCACAGATTGCAAAATCTTTGTTAATTGGTTTGAAGTAGTTTCAGTGGTCAAACTAGCTTAAATGCTTCAACTGCACAAAATGTATGACAAGCTTAAATGGCTCCACTCCACAAACTGCATTTTCTAGTTTGGTTTAACTAGTTAAAGTAATCAAACTAGCGGAAACAGTAAAAGTGCACAAATTGCATTATCTATCTAAAATGGTTGATGTTGTTCAAATACTCAAATGGGGTTAATTTGTTCAACATCACAAAATGGATACCTAGCTCAATACCATCAACTACACAAACTGCACAATCAAGCATAATTGTTGAAAGTCCTTAAATAGCTAAAGTAATTTAGACAATTAAACTGCACAAATTCCACAATCTTTGTTAGTTGGTTAGAGCTGTTCAAGTGGCCATACCAGCTTCGATCGTTCAATTGGACAAAATGCATAACTAGCTTAAATGGTTCAACTGCTTAAATGGTCAAGCTAGGGAAGACAGTGAAACTGCTTGAAGTAGTGCAATGGTCAAACTACCTTTAATTGTTGAAGTGCACAAACGGCAAAATCTAGCCCAATTGGTTTAAGAGGTCGAAATAGTCAAACTAGTCTAAATTGCTTCTACTTTTTAAATGGTCAACCTAGCTTAAATAACAAAATGCTTAACTTGCTGGGTGGGTTGTGTGGTTAAACCATTTAAGCTAGTTATGCCTTTGTCCTGTTAAATATTTATCATCTAGTTCGACCATATTAGCTACTTCAACCATTCAATATATTGTGCAATTTCCACAATTACACCGTTATCGCTAGTTTGTTTGTTTCACCAGGTCAACCAATTAAGCTTGATTGAGAAGTTTGTGCAGTTGATGTTATTAAGTTGCTTATGCATTTTGTCCTTTTGAACAATTTTAGGTAGTTTAACCATTTGAACAAGTTTAATCAGTGGAAAGAGATTTTGCAGTTTTTGCAAGTTTCTTACTGATAGTTGGACATGCTTAGATAGCCGAACCAGCGACGATAGTTAAATACACAAGTAGAAGTACAGGTTAGACCGGTTCAAATGGTCAATAAAGCATAAACTGTTCAAGTAGACAAAGTGCATAGTTATGCATTTTGTCTACTTGAACAATATTAGCTTGAATGACCATTTGAACTAGTCTAACCAGTTGACATAGCTTAAGTGGCTCAACAGGTTAAATGTCAGTCAAGCGATAACAGTTAAACTGCACAAATTGCACAATCCACCTTAATTAGTCGAAGTAGTTCACATCGTCAAACTAGCTTAAATGCTTCAACGCGACAAAAGTCGTAACTAGCTTAATAGGATAAACTGCACAAACTGCACAATCCAGCTTAATTGCTCGAAGTAGTTCACATGGTCAAACTAGCTTCTTGGCTTCAACTGAAAAAAAGGTAACTAGCTTCATTTGTTCAACTTTACAACCCGGAGAATCCAGCCGAAATGGTTTACCTCGCTTAACAATCAAACTAAAGTCACCTAGGAAAACTCTCGTACTTTAAACGGTCAAACCCGCCAAGACAGTCAAACTGCACAGATTGCAAAATCTTTGTTAATTGGTTGGAGTAGTTCAAATGGTCAAACTGGCTTAAATGGTTCAACTACACAAAAATACATGACTAGCTTAAATCGTTCCATTGCGCAAATTGCACTATCTAGCTTGGTTTAACTAGTCAAAATGATTAAACTAGCAAAAACTGTAAAAGTGCACAAATTGCACTATCTATCTACCTGCAATGGTTGATGTTATTCAAATGTTTAAACAGAGTTAAGTGGTTTAACTAGAAAAAATGCATAACTAACTCCATAGGATCAACTTCACTAACTGCACAATAAATCTTAATTGTTTAAACTTGTTAAGTGGTCAAAGTAACTCAGACAATAAAACTGCACACATTGCATAATCTATCTTAATAGGTTAAAGTTGTTTGAATGGCCATACTAGCTTCAATGGCTCAACCGGACAAAATGAATAACTAGCTTAAATGGTTCAAAGGGTTAAATAGTCAAACTAGGGAAGACAGCTAAACTGCTTGAAGCAGTGAAATGGTCGAACTACCTTCAAGTATTAAAGTGGATAAATGGCAACATATAGCCCAATTTTTTAAAGAAATTGAAACGATCAAAGTAGATTAATTAGGTCAACCAGTTAAATAGTCCAACTGGCGAGGACAGTTATATGCACAAATTGTCCAATCTTAATTGGTAGCACTAGTTCAACGGGACAAAATGCTCAACTATCTGAATAAGTTCAGCTTAAAAAACTGCACAATCCAGCTGAATTGGCTCGAATTGTTAAAATGGTCAAACTACTTTAATCGGTTTCACTCTATAAATGGTCAAACTAGTTTAAATGACAAAATGAGTAATTTTCTGAAATGGTTCAACGCGAGAAAATGCTTAAATAACTTAATCAGTTCAACTGCGCAAACTTTAAAAGCTGGCTCAAATGCTTCAACTGCTTAAACAGGCAAACAAGCAGACACAAATCAACTGCAAAAATTGCAAAAGTTGTTTGAATCGGTCGAAGTAGTTCACATGGTCAAGGTAGCCTGAATAGTTCAACTAGACAAAATGCGTAATAAGCTTAATCAGCGTAACTGCACAAACTGCAAAATCTAGCTGAGATGGTACAACTGGTTAAATAGGCAAACTAACAAAAGCAGATAAACTACACAAATTGCACAATCTATCTTATTTGGTTATAAAAAGTTCAATGGTTGCTCTAGCTTAAATGGGTCAACCGACTAAATGTCAATTAAGTGATAAAAGTTAAACTGCACAAATTCCCGAATCTATCTTAATTGGTCGAAGTAGTTCACATAGTCAACCTAGCTTATACGGTTGAACTGAACAAAATGCATAATTAGATTAACAAATTCAACTGCACAATCTGAACAATCTAACTGAAATGGTTCAAGTGGTTTAACAGTCAAAGGTCAACTGAGAAAAATTGCACAATCTATCTCACCGTGTTTAACCAATGAAGCTTGATTATGCAGTTGGCGCAGTTGGTGCAGTTGATGCTTTCAAGCTTGTTATGCATTTTGTCCAGTTGAACCAATTCACTTACTTTGAACATCTGAACTACATCGACCATTTCAGATAGATAGTACAATTTATGCGCCCTTACTGTTTTCGCTTATTTAACCAGTTCAACAAGTTAAGCTAGATTGCATAATTTGAGCAGCTTAGCTTTTTTCGATAGTTTTACTATCTAGTAAGAGAGTCAAACCAGCTAAGATAGCTAAATACACAAATCGATCAATTCTATCTCCTTTAGCCGCAGATCAGCTCATCAACCAGACAAAATACATAACTAGGTTAAATACTTAAAACGGTAAAATAGTCAAACTATCGCAAACAGTATTATTGCACAGTCTAATGAATCTATGTGAACAGGTTTGAGTAGTTCAAACGGTAAATCAGGCTTAAATCGTTTGGGTGGACAAAATTCAGAACCAGCTGAAATGGTTAAACTGAACAAAACGCATAAGTAGCTTAAATGGCTCAACCAGCCAGATGTCAATCGAGCGATAACAGTTAAACTGCGCAAATTGCACAATATATTTTTGGTGGATGTAGTTCATATGCTCAAACTATCTTAAATGCTTTAACTGGAGAGAATACATAACTAGCTTGATAGGATCAACTACACAAACTCCACAATCTGGCTTAACTGGTTGAACTGGTTCAATAAGCGAAAACAGTAAGAGTGCACAAATTGCACTATTTATCTTAAACGGTCGATGTAGTT